TAAAAAAAACAAAGAAAAAGACATTTTTATAAATATGTCATGTAACATTTTATTTCTAGGCCTAGCTTATATATATATATATATATATATATATATCTTTATTCAACCAATCAAACTAATTATGTTATGAAATCCTCTGTGTTAGTCTTTTTATTTTGCAATTTATTTTGGCCAGGACGGGGTTTGAACCCGCCACCTCCGGCATATGGGGCCAGCACCCTACTCCTTTGAGCCACAGGCGCCACCTGTTAGTCTTTTTTTATTGAGACAGAATCTCATTTTGTCACCCTCAGTTGAGTGCTGTTGCATCACAGCTCACAGCAACCTCAAACTCTTGGGCTCACATGATTCTCTTGCCTCAGCCTCTCAAGTAGCTGGGACTATAGGCACCCACCACAACACCTGGCTATTTTTAGAGACGGAGTCTTGCTCTTGCTGAGGCTGGTCTCAAACTCCTGAGCTCAAGTAATCTATCTGCCTCAGCCTCCCAGAGTACTAGGTTTACAGGTGTGAGCCACCTCACCTGGCCTGTTGTTAGTTTTCTTTCAAATATCAAAGTCTGAGTATGAAACATTAAAAATTCCTATGATGGGCGGCACCTGTGGCTCAAAGGAGTAGGGCGCTGGCCCCATATGCCAGAGGTGGCGGGTTCAAACCCAGCCTCAGCCAAAAACTGAAAAAAAAAAAAAAAAAAAACTCCTATGACAAGTGTTTTTCTTTTTTCCCATCTTTCCAGGTAATTTTCCTTACAGGACCTTCTTTATGTATTTTGATGCTCTAATATTCCAAAGGTGCAGATCTATAATATATTCCCTGTAAATTTACTTTTTACATCAGAAGGAACTCTTTTTGTTGTTGTTATTGAGATAGTCTCACCCTATGCCTGAGCAGAGTGCAGTAGTGTAATCATAGCTCACTACAACCTCAGACTCAGGTTGCAGGCATCTTATTGCCTTAGCCCCCGGAGTTCCTGGGATTACAGGTGCACATCATGAAGTCAGACTGGGTTTTTTTATCTTCTGAGCAGTCAGGGTCTCATTCTTGCTCAGACAAGTCTCAAACTCCTGAGCTCAAGCGATCTTCCTACCTCAGCCTCCCACAGTGCTAGGATTACAGGCATGAGCCACTGGGACTGGACAAAGGAACTGTTTTTGTTCTTTTTAATACTTTTCATTTTAAATTCTACTCTTCTGATGTGAATATTGCTACCGTTGCTTTATTTTTGCTTTCCATTTTATATTTACAAGCAAATACATGCATATATGTATCTGCTCATATTTTCTCTCTCTTCCACAGAGGTATTTATTTATTTTGAGACAGAGTCTTTCTATGGTGCCCTCAGCAGAGTGCTGTGGCATCACAGCTCACAGCAACCTCCAACTCCTGGGCTCAAGTGATTCTCCCACCTCAGCCTCCCAAGTAGCTGGGACCACAGGCACCCACCACAACGCCCGCCTATTTTTTGGTTGCAGCCACCATTGTTGTATGGTGGCCGAGCTGAATTTGAACCCATCAACTCAGGTGTACGTGGCTGGCGCCTTAGCTGCTTGAGCCACAGGTGCCGAGCCAAAGACAGAGGTTTTTAAAGCAAGACAAAATTCCTAGTCTAGAGCAGCCAGTGGTTGTTTTCATCTCTTGTCTAGGTTTGTTTGTATTTATTTATTTATTTATTTGAGACAGAGTTTCATTCCATTGCCCTGGGCAAAGTGCTGTGACATCACAGCTCACAGCAACCCCAACTCTTGGGCTCAAGTGATCCTCTTGCCTCAGCCTCCCAAGTAAAGTAGCTGGGACTATAGATGCCCACGACCACGCCAAATCAATTTTTATATTTTTAGTAGAGATGGATGGGGTCTTGCTCAGGCTGGTCTCAAACACCTGAGTTTGGACAGTCCATCCACCCAGAGTGCTATGATTACAGGCATGAGCCACCGCGCTTTGCCTCTTATCTAGGCTTAGAAAATCTACTATGCAAAATAAGAAATTGAGAAACATGCCTGCTTTTCTGCCCTTCTATATAAAGAAGAAAACAGACACAAAAGGGTATCCCAAGAGAAAAATAGTAAAATCTAATTTTTTCAATTCACATTGCACGGAAAATGTGCCTATTATTAAAGTGACTGGTTAAGCTATTGAGGTATTTAAATAAGAAACAAAAAGAATATATTTGCATTTAGAACAGAGGATGCTCTGCTTAACAATATGTGTGGAGAACAGGGCTGTGAGGCAGCAGGGCCCAGCAGCTTGGGAGAAGTCCAGGGGCGACCCCCCCAAACACACTTATCCTCCTTTCTCAAAGAACAACATATTTTCTTTGAAGCTTCAATCTTTAATTGAAGAAGAAAAACATGTTTTCCTTGAAATTTTTGCTTTTAACTTTACAGCTGCACTTCAAAGTAGTCACGTACATTTTCCAGCTAATCTTATAGATATGTAGCTCGCTCATATTTTAGAGGTCACACAGTAGTAACAGATTATGTTCACTTGGGAATTTGTGCCTGTTTCTCTTATCATGATTAAGTTGAAAATGTGTCTTCCTTCCTTGAGAAGCAACTCTGTAGTGCCTCTATAAAATAAAGCTGTTTGAGCATTTGAGCGCTGGTAATAGCTGAAACTATCCAAGTCCTCCCAGTCCCATCTTTCTTTTTTTAAAATTTTGAGACAGAGTCTCACTTTGTTGCCTTCAGTAGAGTGCTGTGATGTCACAGCTCACAGCAACCTCAAACTCTTGGGTTCAAGTGATCCTCTTGCCTCAGCCTCCCAAGTAGCTGGGATTTCAAGTGCCCACCACAATGCCCAGCTATTTTTAGAGATGAGATCTTGCTCTGGCTAAAGCTGGTCTTGAACTTGTGAACTCAAGCTATCCATCCACCTCGGCCTCCCAGAGTGCTAGGATTACAGGCATGAGCCACTGTGCCTAGCCCGCATCTTTGTTTCTTGTGTGCTCTTTCTCAATCCCCACCATTCCCCCTCTGGCCCATTCTGGTTTTTTTTTTTTTTTGAGACAGAGCCTGAAGCTGTTGCCCTGGGTAGAGTGCTGTGACATCACAGCTCACAGCAACCTCCAACTCCTGGGCTCAAGCGATTCTCCTGCCTCTGCCTCCCAAGTAGCTGGGACTACAGGTGCCCGCCACAATGCCTGGCTATTTTTTGGTTGCAGCCATCATTATTGTTTGGCAGGCCAGGGCTTGATTCAAACCCACCAGCTCAGGTGTATGTGGCTGGCACCTTAGCCACTTGAGCCACAGGCGCTGAGCCAGACATCATATGTTTTTATAAATAAAATTTTATTGGAACACAGCTATGCTTGTTTCTTTACATATTGTTTACGGCTGCTTTCACACTCCAATGGGAGAGTTGACTAGTTGTGACAGAGACCATATGGTTCCTCAGGCCTAAAATACTGACCACCTGGGCCTTTAAAGAAACATTTACAGAATGTTAACACCAGAATAGGACTCCAAGGGATTTCCTGACATGCACGTGGAAAAGCAGAGGGCGTGGTGGTTGGAACATGGACTTTCTAGCTGGCAGCCCTATTTCTGAAAGTCTATTCTTCTCTGACCTATGAGTTAGATATTATTATTCCCATTTTTCAGGCAAGGATAACAATACCTAAGGACTCACTTGTTCCATACTTCTACTTCCTTACCTGTAATGTAGATATACAAGTAACTACCTCTCATACAAGTAACTTCCTTACCTGTAATGTGGACATACAAGTAACTAATGAGGACTACACAAAGTCACATGTGTGAAACCCAGGCAGAGGAAGTGCTCTCCGCTGTGGGGTGGGGTGGGGGCATCTCTGAAAGGAAGAGAGACAATCCTCTCCCTAAAGCTAGGGCAAGAGGGGCTGGTCCAACAGGCCTCTCTAAATTCTTTCCTGCTCCATTTCATATTTTTCTGCCTTCCAAATCTTGACCTTTCTTAAGACCAGCCCATTTCTCAGCCCTCCAGAGAGCACAGCGGATCCTTAGAGCCCCAAAACAGGTTTTCCAAGCTCATCAAAGCCTCAGTATCTTTACACTAACTCCTCACTCTCTATGGGAGCCTGGGGGGAGCAGAGCAGAGTAAGGAGTTTGCACCATAGATAGCAGCATCCTCCCACAAACTCCGGGTATCTGTCCATCGTCTGCCTGGGCTCAGTGTCCATTCTCCTCTTCCTAACCCACCTCCTCCAGACTGGCTTGCTTAGAAAGAGGAGTAAAGAGGAATGAAGCCAGAGTACCTGGGTTCTGCCCCCATCTGCCATCACTGGTTGGGTGCCCTTGAAATCAAATGGGGAGAAATCCTACCGACCTGACCTTCCTTAAAGGGCTGATTTGGGCACTGACAGCCTCCTCTGCTAGGCTGTGTTCTCCAGTGACTACTTCACCAGGCCTGGCAGGCAGCAGGTGCTCGAGGAATGTTTGAATGGAAAGCAAGCAAGTGGAAAAAGGTGGGGAGAACACGCACTCTGGACAGTGCGTGGGACTGGGATGATGGGGCACTGGCAGGGGCTTTGGAGAGTGTAGGGGGTAAGGACATACCCATCTCCGAAGTCCCAGCTATAGAGGAATGAGGCAGTCTTGAAGAAGTTGCTTGGGTCGTGGAGGAGGAAAGAGACTTTAAGGATAGTCTTGGTGAGGTAGGAGCTGGGCCAGGGCAGGGAGGTATTCTGGGTGACCACAAGGTTCCCCACAAGGAACTCTGGAACAAACACAGGTGAGAGTGACATCACTGGCAGCTGACAAAGACACCACTCCCCCACCCAGACCTTTGGCTATTGGAGCTATGAGGGGTGAGAGGGGTGAGATGACCCCGAAGATTACGTGCACAGCTCTCACTCCTGACCCTCTTACCAGGACCCCACACTTTCTAGCACAAAAGATGTATAGGACCAGAAGGAAATACATGAGCTTAGAAAGGAACTTTGGGGGCTCGGTGCCTGTAGCACAATGGTTACGGAGCCAGGCACATACACCAAGGGTGGTGGGTTTAAACCCGACCCAGGCCAGCTAAACAACTGCAACAAAAAAATGTCGGGCATTGTGGTAGGCGCCTATAGTCCCAGCTACTCGGGAGGCTAAGGCAAGAGAATTGCTTAAGCCCCAACGTTTGGGGTTGCAGTGAGCTATGATGCCCTGGCACTCGACCCAGGGCAACACAATAAAATGTCAGATGAGTCTAGAAAAAAAGAGTAGTTCTACTGGTTGCATCTCCACACCCAATGTGCCAGGCTAGGTCAGGCCGCTGTCCTGTGTTTCCTTCTCTAAAAAGAAAAATAAAATAAAGGCTGATTTTCTTTTTCACCACAAAAGCAGAAAGTAAGACAGATGGGCTTAGTAAAGTTGGAAAACATTCAGATGTAGAATAAAAAGAAGCTACTGGTCATTCAAACACTGCCACTGTGGACATTTCAAAGTACTGCCAAGTGTCTATGTGTTTATTTAACACATATATACATTAACCACAGTTCATCAGGGTTAGACAGCTCTGTACTTTGCTTTTTTTGTATGTGGAATTTTGTAAACATGAATATTTACCCTTGACATTACAAACTCGTTGCAAGCATCACTGTTACTAGCTGATTAAATTATTTCATTATATTTAATGGGTGCACACCTAGCTTGTGTATGTTTTCTTTTGTTATTATTATATAAACACCAGTGTGATGAGCATATTAGTGTATAAAGCATTATCCAAATAAAGATTTACTTCCTAAAGATAAATTCTTTATTAGAGTATAAGCTCCAAAAGGGCAAGAGAGCAGGACACTTCTGGAATAAGACAGAGAATGAGAAAGAGAAAGCAAGGGAGAGAGGTGGCGCCTGTAGCTCAAGCAGCTAAGGCGCCAGCCACATAAACCAGAGCTGGCGGGTTTGAATCCAGCCTGGGCCTGCCAAACAATGACTACTACAATCAAAAAATAGCCAGGGCGCTGTGGCAGGCACCTGTAGTCCCAGCTACTTGGGAGGCAGAGGCAAGAGACTTGCTTAAGCCCAGGAGTTGGAGGTTGCTATGAGCTGTGATGCCACAGCACTCTACCCAGGGCAATAGCTTGAGGCTCTGTCTCAAAAAAAAAAAAAGAAAGAAAGTGAGAGATAGGGTGCAGGGTAGGGGAGAGGGAAGAAAAAACAGTGAATGAATGACAGGGTCAAAGACTTAAATAATCTATAACCATCAATACCTATTGGCCTGCTGCTCTCAAGTACTGTATTAATTTACAGCCCCACTAGCAAGTGTGCTTTAAGCATTCAATTCAGCACAATTCCTGCCAGAATAGGCATTACCATTTTCTGATCCCTTTAACTTGCCCGACAAGAGAGAAGGAGCCCATGGACCTAATTTGCACTTACATGATTCCTAGCAAGGCTGGTATGCAGTTCTCTGTACCAGGGGTTTGGAGGTAAATTAGTAAACAGGGAGACTCCTCACCTGTGATAGGGAGGACCACAGAGCCCCTGGCCACAGGCTGGCACATCCAGCAGTCGGCAGCAGTCACCCAGATGGAAACCGGGAAGTCCCCGGGCATGCTGCTGACCACGCGGATGGTCGAGCTGAGATCCTTCTCCGTCTTGCTAGTGAGCCTCAGTGGGGTGTGGATCCAGTGGAAGCGGTAGAGGTGGGCATTGCCACGCAGGGCCAGGCTGCCATTGTCCTTGGCTACCAGGCTAGCCAAGATGGTCACCTCTGCAGCTGTGGTGGTGGGGCCATCAGTGGTGATATTGAGTTCATACAGTCCTAGGAGCCCGGAAACAAAGACTGTGTTTCAGTAAGGAATCCCCACTGTCACCTCTGGGATGGTGTCTGTTACTTTGTTTTATAGGTAGAGAAACTGAGACATTAAGCAACTTGCCCAAGGGTCACTTCGTTCAGCAACCCATTTTTAAACTGGATTCAAACCTAGGCCCAACTGACTCCAAATCACAGACTCTTTACATTGTCCCCAAATTAATTTTTCTTTTCATAGCAGCTAAGCACGGACTTACAGAACATGTGGATGGTTGGGGCCTGGCCTGACCAGGCTGTAACCTTAGCCAAATGTATAAAGTTAGAGGTTCCAGACCTGTAGCCATTGACCACATATGGCAATGTAAGTGTCAATTAAAATGAAACAAAATCTAAAACCCAGTTTCTCAGGTCACACCAGCTGCATTTTAAGTGTTCAACAGCTCCATGTGTCTGGTAGCCACCATATTGGACAGCAAAAAGTTCTACTGCACAGGCTGTGTGAGGGAACCTCAGAATTGCTGGCAGGGCCACCACTGGACCTTTGTGATTCCAGCCAGGATAATCCCTGCGAGAATGTGACCTGTACTACCTGGGATGCAGCTCTTACAGGGAGCAGAGGGGGCTTCTGACAGGTCACCTGTAGGAAACAGGGCCTTGAGCATAAGGAACACAGGCCAGGTAAGGGACCTTTAAATAACACCTCACATACACCATATTGAAGGTAAGACTAACTATAAAATTCTGAAAACAGTGAAAAGTAGAAAATAAAATATTTTATTAAAAATTAAAATAATATAGCTCAGCGCCTGTGGCTCAAGCGGCTAAGGTGCCAGCCATATACACCTGAGCTGGCGGGTTCGAATCCAGTCTGGGCCCACCAAACAACAATGATGGCTGCAACCAAAAAATAACCAGGCGTTATGGCGGGTGCCTATAGTCCCAGCTACTTGGGAGGCGGAGGTAAGAGACTCCCTTGAGCCCAGGAGTTGGAGGTTACTGTGAGCTGTGATGCCATGGCACTCTACCCAGGGCAACAGCTTGAGACTCTGACTCAAAAAAAAAAAAAATAATCAAAATAATAGGCAGGGTGCCCATAGCACAGTGGTTATGGCACTGGTCACATGCTCCAAGGCTGGAGGGTTTGAACTCAGCCTGGGCCAGCTTAACAACAATGGCAACTGCAACAAAAAAATAGCTAGGGCTTGGCACCCATAGCTCAGTGAGTTGGGCGCTGGCCACATACGCCAAGGCTGGCAGGTTTAAGCCCGGCCCCAGCCTGATAAACAATGACAACTGAAACCAAAAAAATAGCTAGGTGTTGTGGTGGGCGCCTGTAGTCCCAGCTACTTAGAAGGCTGAGGCAAGATAGTTGCTTAAGCCCAAGAGTTTGAGGTTGCTGTGAGCTGTGACACCATGGCAGTCTACCGAGGGCAAGATAGTGACACTCTGTCTCAAATAAAAAAAATTAAAATAATAGGCAGGGTGCCCATAGCTAAGTCGTTAGGGCACTGGCCACATTCTCTGGGGTTGGTGGGTTCAAACCTGGCCCAGACCAACTAAACAAAAAAAAAAAAAAAAATTAAAATAACATAGGCCAGGTACGAGGGCTCACACCTGTAATCCCAGCATTCTGGAAGGCTGAGGTGGGTGGATTGCTTGAGCTTAGGAGTTTGAGACCAGCCTGAGCAAGATCGAGACCCTGTCTCTAAAAAAATAGCCAGGCATTATGGCTGGCGCCTGTAGTCCCAGCTACTCAGGAGGCTGAAATGAGAGAATCACCTGAGCCCAAGAGTTGAGGTTGCTGTGAGCTATGACTCCATGGTACCTGACTCTAGGGCAACTAAGTGAGACTCTTGTCTCCAAAAAAAAAACAAAAAAAAAAAAGAAAGAAAGAAAAAAGAAAAGGAAAATTAAAATAATAACAACCATTGCTACCATATTTGGGTATTTCTCCCTATATACTTTTAAATTATCTGTTTTATCAGAGATTATTCATCACATTTTTATTTCACTTCATTATCCTGGGCATTCATTTTTCTTTTCTTTTTTTTTGAGACAGAATCTCACACTGTCACATAGCCTGGAATGCAGTGTCACAGTCATAGCTCACAACTCCTAGGCTCAAGTGATCCTCCTACCTCAGCCTCCCAAGTAGCTGGAATATAGGCACTTGCCACCATGCCCTGCTAATTTTTGGGGGGGGGGTGTTGTAGGGACAGAATCTCACTTTATCGCCTTTGGAAGAGTGCCATGGCATCACACAGCTCACAGCAACCTCCAACTCCTGGGCTTAGGTAATTATCCTGCCTCAGCCTCCCAAGTAGCTGGGACCACAGGCGCCCACCATAACCCCTGGCTATTTTTTGTTGCAGTTTGGCCAGGGCTGGGTTTGAACCCGCCACCCTTGGTATATGGGGCTGGCGCTCTACCCACTGAGCCACAGGCACTGCCCGCCCAGCTAATTAAAAAAAAAAATTCTGTGGAGTGGGGAGGAGGGAGGGTGATTGGAGGAATCTCATCTAATGTGCACAATGTGAGGGTGTTCAGCACACCCCCAGATGAAGTGCTCAACTATAACTTGAACTTTACCTTAGAAATGAAAACAATGTAACCTAAAAATTTGTACTCTAGGCTCCGTGCTTGTAGCTCAGCAACTTGGGCGCCAGCCACATACACCAGAGCTGGCAAATTTGAATCTAGCCTGGGCCTGCCAAACAATAATGACACCTACAACCAAAAAATAATTGGGTGTTCTGATGGGTGCCTGTAGTCCCAGCTAGTTGGTAGGCTGAGGCAAGAGAATCGCTTAAGCCCAAGAGTTTGAGGTTGCTGTGAGCTGTGACATGACAGCACTCTATGCAGGGCGACAGCTTGAGACTCTGTCTAAAAAAAAAAAAAAAAATGTGTACTCTCATACTAATCTGAAATTTTTTTTTTTTTTTTTTTTTTGGTAGAGACAGTCTCCCTACATTGCCCAGGCTGGTCTCAAACTCCTGGCCTCAAGCAATCTTCTTGCCTTCACCTCCCCTCCCAAAGTACTAGGATCAATTTAAATTAATCTCATGTTGCCATGCCTTGCCTTGATTATTTTCCTGAGTCCATTTTCCATCATTCTTTAACTGTTTTAGATAGCTGCATAATGTTATATAAACAAAGTAAGATTTTCAAAATAAGATTTGTTTCCATTATAAAAATAACATATATGCATAAAGAATATTAAACTGAACCCACATGAGGTCTTCCCACTTGGGTCTTTCCCTCTGCCAGAAGCTCTGGTGCTTTTTACTCTTTCTATATTTCTTTCTGTCTACTAAATTCTATCTTACCACTGGAAAAAAAGAAAGAAGGAATATTAAGCTATCCTATTACCCTTCCCCTCAAAGATAACAACTGTTATCAGACTGTTATCTTCCCATCTCTTTTCTATGCATATAAGTTTTGTTAAATAGTCATAATCACATGCCACACACAATTTTAAATTATTTTATTTTCACGCGCCAACATATTAAAAGTATGTCTGTGGTCCCACTAATATCAATTTCAATATTTGCATGATAATCCCTCAAGCAAGTATATCTTAATTCACACAATCCTTTGCTCTTTTCAACAGTGCTACTGCACATCTGGGCATGGAACACTTTTCCTGTCATTTGGTTCTTTCTTCAGGTGAGATTTATGTGGGGCTTCATGTCAAAGAGGAGCTGGGATAAGGGAAGGGTGAGCACTGTAGGCTGCAGCATGCACCTGGGCAGAGGAGGTAACACAGGAGGAAGGGGCAAGGGGCTCTCCTCACTCAAACCCACCTTCCCAATGGTGTTTATCCCTCCTGTGGCTTCAAGTATCTTCTTGATGCTCACAGAGCCCAGTGACCTACTCCCTGAACTCTAGGCCCTGCACTCAGACACACAGTAGTTACTAACCACAATTTAAATTAATCTTATTTAAATGCTTAAGTGTAATTAAAACTAAAAAGTCAGTGTCTGAACTGCATTAGCCACATTTCAAGTGCTTAACAGCCACATGTGGTGAGTGGCTACTCTTTTGGAAGGTGTCCATAAAGAACATTCCGATCATTCCCTGAAGTTCTATTGGATGGTACTAGTCTAACCTTCTACATTTCCCCTCATGCTTCTCTGTTGGGGTTAGAGGATCCACTGTCCCAAGAAGCAATCCCCAAGCCTCTGCTATCTCAATTCCTCCCATCTGAGCATGTTCCCCTCCTCTCCATTGCTGAAGGCCAACCCTGTCTGCTGCAGCCTTGTCAATAGCCCTCCACCTCCCACAGAGTCCAGAATGATATTTGGAATAATCCCCTTATGGCCGGCCCTTATGTGTGCTCTGCCCTTCCCTGTCACTGGGTTCTGTGAGCTGTCTTTGCTGCTGGAATGTCCTCTCTACCTTTTTGTCCATAGACAACCTCTTTCAGGAAGTTTTCGCTGTATTGCTTGTCCCCTCAATGCTCTCCTAACAGCCTGAGCCCACCATTGTCACAACTCCATGTAGGAATGAAGGTGTACTTCCCTCACTGCACTTGGAACTCCTTGAGGGCAATAGTCACTTCCATCTTCTCTGAGCTCTGCACAGTGCTTGGCACATTGTAGTCATTTGATACTACCACTGTAAGTCACAACAGGGTGTGGCAGGGATACTCCATGGGTGTTCTGAGAGGCCCATACCCAAAGATGCTGGGGGAGGGGACCCAGAAATACAGGACATGTTCCTGCCCTGAAGGCCTGATTTCCTGGGAGACCTGCTGGACTCTCAGCAAAACAGAGAGGTGAGTTCGTCCGCAGCTGTCTCCTACTCACCTTGAAACAACGTTGCCTGTCCCAAGTGGAGACTCAAGCTCTAGCTTTTCCTCTGGCCCTTTCTTCCAAGGCCACTTCTTTAGTTATAAAGTCACTTGAGTCAAGATGCCAAGGGCTGGTCACTTCCAAGGAAATGCTGGCATTGAAAATGGGACCTCCCCTTAACCCCAAAGAGAGATTTGTGGGCATTGTGGTAGAAGTTTCTTCAAGCAAATGCAGTGTACATAACACAATGAATGACATGAGGCCACAAAGGCCACTGCTGCTGCTGACTGGGGCTATCCGATAAGTCTGCACCACCAGCATTTGGCCAGGCTGCGCAGAAAGAAGTAGTTGGATGAGAGGCCACCTCCTCCTTTCTCCCTCTGGCTTCCGGGAACCCCCCCTCCGCTCCTGCTTCTCTCCCCCCTTCACAGCGTGGGCCAGAGTGAGGCTGGCAGGTGGCAGGGACATTCGGTTGCATGCTAATAGCCAAGCAGCATCTGCAGTGAGATGGGAGCATGTCAGCATGACACAGATCTGCAGATCTGTTGCCAGGGGAATGAAATCAGGAGGGTGACTGCCTGGGGCTGGGAGGGGGGGCTGGTTGGGGGTTGGGAGGGATGGGCCTGCTGTACACATTGTCACAGACACTGGTCCAGCTCTCAGGTTCAGCCCCCCACCTACCCAGCTGCAAGAAGGCTCCAAGAGCACTTTTTCTCAAACTAGCTTTTTAAAATCAGGTGTTCCATAGCCTGGTTTATGCCATCCCACATCCCCAGGGCTCTCAGAGGTGTCCAGGGCACCCAGGGCTGAAATGGGCCATTGAAGGCTTTGCCACCAAGTATGGATAAAGGACCCTAGTCCAGGGCCTGCTGCTCTACCCATCACATTTGTCTTTCCAGGTTTGGGGGAATCCAGAAACTTGTCCTTGGAGTGTGAAACGGCTAAGGCAGGGCCTTAAGGACTCCACTGGTGCCCCAAGTGACCCAGCACTAAAGGGACCAAAGCAAAAAGAGAAGGGACAACTACCCCAAAGGTTGGCCCATATAAGAAATACCTACCTGCTAAGTCCCCAGGCTTCCAAGTAAAGCTAGCACATTTTCCAGCAACATAGCATGTGATGCCCTGAACATTCCAGAAAATGGCTACACCAGCCCTTTCACATGGCAGATGCACACTGCCCCAAAGACTTCCTAAGGTACCTCTTAAGTCTGGATAATACAACCTGGAATTCATTAATGGACTACTGCCTTGACTTATAAACCCCTGGTGTACAAAGTTTCCGTGCAGGCTTAAACAAGGAAGGGTGGAAGAGGCCTCTACTTTTCCCCTATGTGCGAAGGATAAGGTATGTTCCCCAACACCACTCCCAGCCACTGTCATTTTGATCATATCAAGGATTTGATCAGCCAGCTTGGGAACTACACATGATTTCCAAAGAATTCATTCATTTTTGTTTTGTTTTGTTTTTACAATTTCAGACACATTGATAATTTCTGGACATAAATAAACCTAAAGGGCAAGAGACCCCTTTCAGAGGGAAGCAGGTGATCCTGACCAAGCACAATTCCCACAAAATTCTCCTAATTCATACTTGAGTTATTGCAGGGTTTTATTTTACCTTGTGGCTTTTCTTTTTAAAATTTCCATTAGATCCCTTCCTCTATCTACCACTCTTTCATGGGAGGTGGGTGCAGGGATGAAAAATGTTGGATAATTTTCAACCTTCTTACCTGCCCACACTCCACCTGTGCCTCTACATGTCTCCAATCTGGTTCCTTTTTGGTTCCCCCAAACTGACAGAAAGCCTGGTGCTTCCCTTCCAACAGTGGGGAAATGGGGTTGGCAGAAACACGATCACCTGGCCTTGGGTGGGCCCCAGAAGAGGCTGTCAGGTCGGGTCCATTTTGGAAATCACTCCCAGAAAGGAAATGGCAGACTGGCCTCCTGGGCTCTAAAATCACCCTAAAGCCAAGGCACACTAGGTGGAAAACCCTTCCAGGTAAAGGCGACATACTAAGGCCAAAATGCTGCTCCGCGGGCCACCTGATGATGCGTGCTCCCTGGGTGGCTGCGGCAAGACAACCTACTCTGGCACATCCAGGCCTCCCGCATCGTCTTCCCATGCCCCAGCAGGCGTCCAGTCCCCAGGCATCCGGACGCAGCTGCGGCCACCTGCGCGGTTTCCAACGCAGGGCCCACCCGGGAGTGGAAGCAGGAACCTAGAGGGGCGGGACCCCACCTCAAGTGCCAGGGCGACTTCTAAGGAGAGGGGTGAAGGGGATGAGCGGAGGGTGTCTCAGTGGCCTCCCTGGAGGAGCATCGTGCGCGCAGGGCGCACGGAGCCACCTCCGTAGCCCAAGCTTCCCGCGAGCCGCCCCGTGGGTAACTGCCCCAGGCCCCAGGCTGACTGCGGCTGCGGGGAAGCTGGGAGGCCCCGCGCCTTACCTGCGGCCACCCTAGCCGGGGCTAAGGGCAGAAGGCAGGCAAGCCAGAGGATGAGGCTGAGGCGCGACCACCGTGCCGGAGCCATGGCGGAGCCCGGAGCTGGAGCAGCGCCGAGCGGACGCGGAGGGAACGCGGCTCGATCTCAGCGGCGGCGCGCTGCTCCAGGCGCGCGGCGCGAGCTGTGCGGAAGGTGCGGATGCCGGGCTCGCTCGTCTTCGTCTTGGGATGCTCTGTCTCTGCGCGCCACCGCCGCCGCCCACGGCCCGCTGCGCGACCCCGGCCCGCGTCAACCGCGCGGTGCCCTGTCCCTCCCCGCATCCCTCTCCGCGTCCCTCCCCATGGCCGCGCCCCCTCCCCTCTCCGTGTCTTTGCCCCTCCTCTCTCCAGCTCCCCTCCCGCTGGCTCTGACTCAGCTTCCCCAGAGGTGTGCGCTGCGCTGCCAACCGCCTGTGGGCCCATGGGGTTCTTCTCCAAGTGCCATCCCTCTGCCCACTCGCAGTGTGGAGATGCTGTTCTTCTCTAAAGAAATGTCGAGCGCCGACGGTGTGCCAGGCGTGGGACAAAGGGCCAGAAAATGCATGCCCCTTACCCCTGCTGCGAAAGGGGCCTCAGCTCTCGGCCACTGCACTGGCTCGGTTGTCATTCCTCAGTTTACCTGCTTGTGCCTGCTGTAAAGTGGGGCTCGGGCTCATATCGGGGAGCATGGCTGCTTTGTGTCAGTGAGGGCTTTGAGAGAGTCACACAACCGTGATGAGGTGTGATGGGCCTAGGCAGACACTTCCACCTGCCACCTGGAGCAGAGCTTTTCTCTCCCAGAAGCTGGCCAGGCCTTGCGGGCTGGGCCCTGGTTCCAGCTGTCCTCTGCTTTGCTCCATAACTGGGCAAGGGATCCTCCCATACAGTGAGGGGGTTGGATGGCTTTTCTGGTCCGGCAGGCACTGATTGACCATAACTGCATGATATAAGGATACCCCCCCCCCCCCCCCCCCCCAACACTTCCATCTCTTGGGAAGGGAGGAGACCGGATCTGAGTGAGTCTCTTGTGAAAATTAAAAGTGCTGGGCCAGGCTCAGTGCCTGTAGCTCAAGTGGCTAAGGCACCAGCCACATACACCAGAGCTAGCCGGTTCAAATCCAGCCTGGGCCCACCAAACAACAATGGCAACTACAACCAAAAAAATAGCCGGGCATTGTGGCCGGTGCCTATAGTCACAGCTACTTGGGAGGCTGAAGCAAGAGAATCGCTTAAGCTCAGGAGTGGGAGGTTGCTGTGAGCTGTGATGCCAGAGCACTCTACCCAGGGCAACAGCTTGAGGCTCTGTCTCAAAAAAAAAAGAAGTGCTGGACTGATGTCACCTTTGGGTAACATCAACCACCACACTGGTAGAAATACCAGTCCTGACTTGGCACCTGTGGCTCAAGCAGCTAAGGCTCCAGCCACATACACCTGAGCTGGTACATTCAAATCCAGCCCGGCTCGCCAAACAGCAAAGATGGCTGCAACCAAAAATAGCCGGGCATTGTGGCCGGTGCCTGTAGTCCCAACTACTTGGGAGGCAGAGGCAGGAAAATTGCCTGAGCCAAGGAGTTGGAGGTTGCTGTGAGCTGTGATGCTAGGGCACTCTACCCAGGGTGACAGCTTGAGATTCTGTCTCAAAAAAAAGAAAGAAAGAAAAGAAAGAACTACCAGTCCTAGGACACTCTGGGAAAAGGCCGGGTACAGTGGCTCATACCTGTAATCCTAGCATTCTGAGAGGCCAAGGCTGGTGGATCACTTGAGCTCAGGAGTTCCAGATCAACCTGATCAAGTGTGAGACTAGGAGTTTGAGACTAGCCTGAGCAAGAGCCTGAGCAAGACAGGTTTAGCAAGACCCCTGTCTCTACTAAAAATAGAAAAAACTGGGCAGTACCCGTGGCTCAAGGAGTAGGGTGCCGGCCCCATATACCGGGAATGGCGGGTTCCAGCCCGGCCTCGGCCAAAACTGAAAAAAAAGAAAGAAAGAAAAAGTTAGCCTGGCATTGTGGCTAGCCTGGTGTTGTGCTGGGTACCTATAGTCCCAGCTACTTGGGAGGCTGAGGAAAGAGGATGGCTTGAGCCTAAGGGTTTCAGGTTGCTGTGAGTTATGACACCTTGGCATCCTACCTAGGGTGACAGAGTGAAACTCTGTTTTGTTTTGTTTTTTTTTGAGACAGAGCCTCAAGCTGTCACCCTGGGTAGAGTGCTATGGCATGAAAGCTCACAGCAACCTCCAACTCCTGGGCTAAAGCGAGTCTCCTGCCTCAGCCTCCCAAGTAGCTGGGACCACAGGCGCCCACCAAAACGCCAGGCTAATTTTTGGTTGTAGCCATCATTGTTGCTTGGTGGGCCTGGGCTGGATTCGAACCCGCCACCTTAGGTGTAGGTGGCTGGCGCCTTAGCCACTTGAGCCACAGGCCCCAAGCCAGAAACTCTGTTTTAAAAAAGAAAAAAAGAAGGAAAAGAAAAAAAAAAAAGACCCTAGAAAAGTCACTTTTCTCTCTATGCTTCCATACCCCTTTTCTTTAAAATGGAGATAATTGTTCCAACCCCAGGAGACTGCCCTAAGGATAAATTGAAAGGGTTCAGTGGTTACAGCACCAGCCACTGAACCCAGCCTGGGGAGCTAAACAACAATGACAACTGCAACAAAAAATATCCCAGTGTTGTGGTGGGCACCTGTAATCCCAGCTACTCGGGAGGCTGAGACAAGAGAATTGCTAATGCCCAAGAATTTGAGGTTGCTGTGAGCTGTGACCTCACAGCACTCTACTGAGGGCAACACAGTGAGACTCTGTCTCAAAAAAAAAAAAAAATTGAAGGTGTTCAATCAATCAGTGTTGGAATTACCTAAGGAACTGGGAGAGAATTTGCTTGTTCATCAGGAATTCTAAGTGCTTAAGAAGAAAATAGGTCTGTTAAGGTTAAGAGTTTCAAATATTTGTAGCTAGAGCATTGTGGTGGGTGCCCATAGTCCCAGCTACTTGGGAGGCTGAGGCAAGAGAATCGCTTAAGCTCAAGAGTTTGAGGTTGCTGTGAGCTGTGATGCCATAGCACTCTACTGAGGGTGACATATTGAGACTCTATGTCTCAAAAAAAAAAAAGTGTGGTTGTTAGCGTTGTTTAAAATGTACTAAAGAGGGGACCAGGTGCCCTGGCTCACGCCTGCAATCCTAGCACTCTGGGAGGCTGAGGTGGGTGGATTGCCTGAGCTTACAGGTTCCAGACCAGCCTGAGCAAGGGTGAGACCCTATCTCTGAAAATAGCCTGGCATTGTGGTGGGCTTCTATAGTCCCAGCTACTTCGGAGGCTGAGGGAAGAGAAGAGCTTAAGCCCAAGAGTTTGAGGTTGCTATGAGCTATAATACCACAGCACCCTAATAAGGGCGACAAAGTGAGACTCTGTCTCAAAAAAAAAAAAAAAAAGTACTAAAGAGAATAAAATGTATTGTTTTTTAAATGTGTAACATTATTGCACTCAGTAGTTAATTTTAATGTAACCACAGTCTTATCTAAGTCAGGAAAACCAACTTCAAGGCCAACTTGAGGCTAATATTGATTTGACCCTTTTTCCTATTTCCTAGTAAGTCAGGATTTTCCATAAGCATCAATCCCTTACTGCCACCTTCTTTCTTCTAGACTCTCATAGCATCTGGACATCTTCCACCTCCTAATGGGCCCAGAAGCCCCCTTTTCCAGAGCCCTGCAGGGAGTGTCAGATGGGGGGAGGGGCAGGAAATCCTTTCAGAAAGCCAGCTTTTCTAAAATAGTGTTGCTGGCTAGAAATATCATTCCAGCCATGTATGTAATTTTACATTTTTTAGCCACATTTAAAACAGAAAAAAGAAACAGGTTGGGCAGTGCCTGTGGCTCAAAGGAGTAGGGTGCTGGCTCCATATGCTGGAGGTAGTGGGTTCAAACCCAGCCCTGGCCAAAAAAAGAAAAAGAAAAAAAGAGACAGGTGAAATTAATTTTAATTATGTATTTTAGTTAACTCAATATATTTAAAATGTCATTTCCACATATAATCAATCTAAACATTAATGATAAGATATTTTACCTCTGGCTCGGCGCCTATGGCTCAAGCGGCTAAGGCGCCAGCCACATACACCTAAGAGGCGAGTTCAAATCCAGCCAGGGCCCGCCAAACAACAATAATAGCTGCAACCAAAAAATAGCCGGGCGTTGTGGTGGGCGCCTGTGGTCCCAGCTACTTGGGAGGCTGAGACAGGAGA